AAGTCCATGAGACAAACTGCTTGTTAGCATCCTTTAAGATAACCATTAAGGTCTAAGAACCCTGAGCCTTCATTCTCACACCTGCTTGCCCCATCAGGTGCCCAGCCAAAGCAAGAAACAGGGAATACTTGGCTCTCCATTAGGATCTTGGGCATGAAACTTGGGCAGAGAGGAGCCTGCCACATCTGAGACTGGTTCCAAACGCTGTCCTGCAGCCCAGCAAAGAATCCCAAGAGTCTCCTTTGGGACAATTAAGCTCAATTTATTCAAGGCCAGGTTGGGTGGGGCATCAAGCAGCCTGGTCTAGTGGATGGCGTCCATGGCAGAGGGGGTGAAATAACATGATCTTTAAGGTCCCAAACCATTCTATGATGCCATGGTTAGAAGCAAGTGTAAAAATAAAGCAAAACCAAGAGGAGGAGGCTTATATCAGCCCTAATACAAAGGACTGCTTGCTTATCTCTGAATTATCTCTGAGAGGAAGCTTTATTTTTTCCTTTATTTGAACAGATAAGAGTTTAACCAGAAAAAAAAAAAAAAGGGACTGTAAATCTTCCCAAACTATATTTATAACAGCACACTCAATTCTGGATTCCTATTTTAGTCACATGCAGAACACAGGGAAATTACAAAAAAAGCCCATGCCAAATAAAGTCAGATTTCATCAGTACAGACAACAAGTAACTTTATGAATCAAGCTGCAAACGGTAGGTTTTGCTCCTGTCTCTAATTTCATAGCAGTAGTTGTTTTCAACCCACCATCCACTAGGGTGGGGGGAACCCGTGACCACCTGTACATGGTCGGGCGGAAAAAACCCCAAGCAAACCAAAACAAACCTACTTTTAACCATGTTCCCTTTGTCAGGTAAGCTCATGCTCATAGGTAGCGAATGCCACCTTGTTGCTGTACGGGGGACACAGCCCTACAGCAGCCGCATCAGCGTACCGCATCCCCGCAACGGCGCGGTTCAAATCATTCCGAATTATCCATGAAACAGTTAAAAGTATGGTGCTCACAGAAATTAAAGGTGCAATATATATATATATAAATAAAAAATAAGCGGATAGGGAGGGAAAGGGAAGAAAAAAAAAACCAAAAACGGTGGTCTCCTTGCTTGCATATAAGATTAAGATAACCATGAATACACACAGCGTTTCTGCAGCGCCGCAGGCAGCCTAGCTCCGCACCCCTGCTCATCCCTCCGGCCAGCGGCCAGCACCGGGGACACCCCAACACCCCAAAAGGCTGTGCAGTCGCAGCAAGCCGCTGCCGCTGGACATTACC